GTTTAACTTGTAACTTTTTGTCTTAGTTCTCATTTATACCTTCGATGTCATCAGACATAAACGTTATATTTTCATTGTGAAGAGAAGTTGAGAAATATTGAATTAACGACTGAGAACAAGAGCGATTTAATATGAAAGCGCAATAAGTAATGCATGGAGTTTTCTGTAACATTTGTCTCGTCAATCTACTTAAAAAATAATGAACTTAGATAGATTACGTCTTTCGCTAATAAAAAGCTAATAAGAGGAATTAACGAATGTATTTATTAAAAAATCCGATTCTCTCCTACCCATATATATATATGTCCACTCATTAGTTATAACGAACTTATCGTCCTCCTGTTTTAATTTCTAGTTATCCTAATCAAGTTACATAATTAGTATGTTTACGTACATCTAAATCTTCCTTTGTCCTACTATTCGTGCGTTCGGGGAGACGCTATAATTAGCGCTACTTCTGTCATTCTATCTTCGTTGTTCATTGGACGTCAAAACAAGCAAGGGTAGAATGCGCTAATAACGTCTCCCTGAATGCACTTTATTTCAACTGTGCAAAAAAAAAAAAGAAAAAAAACAAGAAAAAAATTTCACGCACAGGAGAACGGCCAGCGACGGTTGACGGCACCGGAAATAGCGCGGGGTGAACGGCAACGTGGCAAGGGCGCGGAGGTGTTCCTGGGCCGTTTGCCGCGCGACTGCTACGAGGACGAGCTGATGCCGTTGCTGGAGCAGGTGGGCCGGCTCCTGGAGTTGCGACTGATGCTCGATTTTTCCGGGTCAACGCGCGGCTACGCATTCGCGTTGTTCGAGGACCCGCGGGTTGCCCGGGTAGCGTGCGAGAGTCTCGACGGCTACGAGATCCGGCCGGGCCATCGCATCGGCGTGGTCAAGTCCATGGACAACTGCCGGCTCTTCTTCGGCGGCGTACCCAAGACTAAGACCAAGCTCGAATTCATGGAGGAGCTGACCAAGATACTGGACGGCATCACGGACGTCTACGTTTACCCGAGTGCTCAGGATCGCAATCTAAATCGCGGTTTCATCTTCGTCGAATTCAAAGATCATCGGGCAGCCGCGATGGCCAGGCGCAAGCTTATACCCGGCAAAGTGATGTTGTGGGATCACGAGATCGCGGTGGATTGGGCGGATCCGGAGCCGGGCGATCCGATCGATGAAGACATCATGGAAACGGTGAACTATCGCATTTTGTCAAAATCTGCTTTCGTACATATAATCTGTATTCTCTCTCTCTCTTTTTTTTTTTTTAATTTATATTAATTTATATTTATATAATCAGTTTTTCTTTTATTTCACGTGACTCAATCAGTATTTTATTAATTTATTGCTAAATGTAATGATACGCGCAGCGTAACGTGATGTTTGAACAGATAATCGACATAAACAAAAGGAAACTATAAAAATGTGTGATTACGCAAAAGTAAAATACAACAAAAAACGTATTTTACTAGATATGTAACATTATCAAAACGGGATTAAATAAATTGGAGCGTTTGTATAGATTGTGTTATGTGTAATATGTACAAATATATTTCGAATTGAGAAAAATTGAAAAATAACTAGCTTTTACACGTTTTATAATTTATTAATAACTTTATTATATTCATAATCGGATAAAAATGTATTTTAAAACGCACGACTATAATATAGATATTTTTTCAAATATTATAGAATATGAATAGTGATGTTCATATTATTCGCTTTAATTGAAGTTGATTGAATCGCAAATTTATAAATATCCGCAAAAAATGTTATATATGTTATATATAATTATATATAATAACATATATAATTATATGATATAAAATATGTTCATATATGGATATATAATTTTATATAATGTTATATATAACTATAAAACCTTTTTTTCCCGGATTTACCTTTGCGTAATTATAAAAAAAAATATCTCACAACGTTTAATTTCCGGGGATTGCATTTGACAAAAAACATAGCAATTTCTGACAACATTCTGTAAACAGAACGCGTTGATATAAAATAAATTTGCCACAACGAAATCACATCTCATTGTATGTGTATATGTGTGTGCGTGCGTGTGTGTGTTATATACACAATGGCATGAAACGAGATTATATGTAGTATATTAACTCAATATCATACACGATGACAAATAGGTAACGGCTCTGTTCGTAAGGAACCTCGCCCTTGATATGTCGCAACAAAAGGTGAGAGAGATTCTCTACAGGTACACGAATGTACCCATATTGAAGCTAAAGAAGATCAATCACTTCGCTTTTGTTCACTATGAGAATCGCGAAGCCGCAAAGACTGTAATGGACATAATGGAAAGTGAGTATATCAGCAGTGTAACTAAAGTGAAATAATGAAAATACAAATAACTTGGAATCCAAAGGAATAAATATAATGATTTCGGCAGAATTTTGTATCAAATTTTAAAGGGATAGAATCCGTAGAAAATTGTTTGTCAGAGTAGACTGTTAATTGTAAATATAGAATTTCGTTATCATTTATAATGGCTGCGTTCAGCGGAAAAAGCAGCTTTGCAACTGTTGTAAAAATTCTTGAATAACATAGATAACGCGTGAAATTAATCTTATTAATAACATTATTTTCTGATCATATATGTTTCTGAAATTAATATATACATCGTGTTTTAAAAATTAATGTTACTAATATTTTTTTCAGCTAAATACAGAACGGGTTGTCTTCGCCCAAAAGATTTTATTTTATTTCAAGTTTATGAAAAACGGATTCCCGTTTAGTTCTCGGTATGAATAATTTTGCTTTTTAGAACCTGATAGCATCGTTGAAAAGCAGGGTTGGGAAATCCGTTGGGCGAAACCTATTGGAGCGTCCAAGATCCTGGAAAGAGCACGATATATTCGCGAGGCGGTAACCAACTCGAGAGTCCAAAAAACCGAAAAGCCGCATTCAAAAGAACGAAAGAAGCGCCCCAGCAAAACGCTCATGAAAACACACGAAGATAAGAGCGTATACCTGGCACAGATGAAGACCCTGCAAAGCTTCGTCAAGGACAGATTCGATGCTACGTGCATCTTTGACTGCATACAAATACTGGATGCTTCTGAATATATTGGCAGAGTAAACGTTTTAATAAATTTGCGACTTCTTATCTTTTCTTCATTCATTTATGCTTAATGATTTACTGTTTTTCTTTTGCGTCACTATAACTGTGTTTTAGATAATTGTTCGTAAAGATGAGTTAATAATGTGCGAATTTCAAGGGGAGCCAGTGGCATCGAAACATAAAGCTATGAGCGAGGCATCTATTAAAGTGTACCAATATTTGACCAGTATGTTCCCGAATAATGGTACGTATAACATTTTCGCTTGTGTTATATTAAAAGCTTTTGATTATTTCATTCTCTATTTGCGCGCTTTGAATCAAAGGCGATTTTGACAAAATGCTCCTACGCGGATTAATTCAGCTCCAACAACGAAAAACATGCGTAATATTTACAAAATTTCGATTTTCAATTGTAATCGACAAGTACCGCGAAATCTCGTTCGTGCTTTGTTTGCCTCGAAAAATATTTGTAATACACAATGCGTCGCATTTTAATGATATTTTGCGCGTATTTTTGTAGCGCCGCAGTTATTCGAACAACATTATATTGTATCAGGAATGGACATTAACCCTGTGATTGGTACGCCGATTGTTTGGCATTCAGTTCAAAATTAGATTAGTTACTATTACTTTGTTTTCAGTTTTACTTTTTAATTGTTATATACACACGTGAAAGCTACTGACGCATTGCAAAAAGAGGTCGTTAACTCTACCTCATCTCTATTTTACCTCAAATGTTTTAACGACTGTCAAATGTTAATAATAATCAATGAAGAATATTTCAGTTCGACGTTTGATTCCAAGTTACATGATTTCCAAGACAGTGTATTTTGGAATATCGATGCTCAAGATATATTTAACTTTATTTGAATGTCTAAGATAGTTTTAACCTTAAATTATTAAAGTTTATAAAATTACAATGTTGATGAAATTTCAATCTATACAGATATTAATCTATGACAAATGGCCACTTATTTTAATGATAGCAATTATCAAAGTTGATTCAAAAATCCATTTTAAATAACAGTTCTTACAATTAAATAATGACATTTTCAAAAAGTGTCTAAGACATATTGAAAGAAAAATGATTAAAGTTTGTGCAAAATTACAATATATATTTGATGATTTACAATCTATAATGAAAATTTATGAGTATTTACACTGATGGCCATTTAAAAAAAATTATCTTAAAATTTATTATTTTAAAAAGTTTACAATGCAATGAATTTATTTCTGAATATATTTATTCGTTTTTGATTATTTAAAAAGTCTTATACTCGCAAATTTTATACACTGTAAGGGATTCTGTAACTTTTCATTTTATTAAAAATTATTTTATTTTATCTAAATTCAAATTCTTAATATATATATGTTTATTACACATTATTAAAAGATATTTTATTCAAATATCAGCGATCAAATACACGAGCATACAATACAAGATGTTTTATTAAAATCTTAAAATTAATTTAACATACCGTTAATATGAATATAACAAATAGACCTTTCGATTCACAGAGTCTTCTTCAATACAATTAAATAAATCTATCTATTTCGCTTGACAATATTGCAAATCGAGAAATAACTTTTCCATGCCAATTGATGATTATTGATGGTGAACCAAGTCAATTGCTAAATCGATGTTCACAGTTAAAAATTGTAAAACCTAACTAGCAGAATAGATAAATTTATTTAATTATATTGAAAAAGACTCTGTGAGTTGGAAGGTCTATTTATTACATTATCATATTAATGGGATGTTAAATTAATTTTAAGATTTTAATAAAATATCTTGTATTGCTCGTGTATTTGATCGTTGATATTTGAATTGTTTTGCTGTGCAAACTTCGCGCAAACTTATTTATTTTTATTATTTGTATTATATTTTATTTAGTACATCTTTATGTATATGTAACAAAAAAATTAATTTCTATGTTCAATTTAAATAAGATATCAGCTTTGTTTAGAACAATTATTTTAATTGAAAGACACGCAAAGACATCGAATTTGTGATCATATGTTACGTTTAGTTCACAATATCTTCACGCATAATTTATATTGCATAATGAAGAAATTAATTTAATAAAGTTATTATTTTTGTACGAATTTATAATCTCATTTTTGTTTTCCTTATTCTATTAATATAGAGAAGAATTACTTGTCATATTTTTTTTTAGATACAGATCTTAAATATACATATGAAACGCTATACATACATTAAAGTATATAGTTAAGCGTTTTTCTTTTTATTCATTTATTTTTCAAGGATTATATTAATCACTACCACGTAGCGATTAAAGAGTTCTCGCAATTATAGAGTACACAGTTATAAATTTATGGTAAAAGTGCCTCAAGATTTATCTTTATCCTAAAAGAAATCCCTAAAAAGACGGAGACACAGTTCGTTTATCATTTCAATGGGAAAGGGCTGAGCGCTCTTTGCATTGAGGGCAGAATCGTGGAGTAATCCTCCAGGATCCTTCGTACCGTTTCGTAATCGGTGTTGCCGGTGGCATTGCTCGGTCTCATACAACGTACTAATCGACTGGTTTGATTGCTGCATTCGACCATGCTACTTCTCTCCTGCACGCTATAGGTCTCGTACGTGAACACGAGCAGCTTCTCCACGACGCAGTCAAGCACCTTGTCACTCGGCAACTCGCCACGGCCGCTCTCGACGCAATCCTTGATCATGACGTTCATCCAGTTCCAATCCTCCCACATGTCGAGTATTTCAACCTTTTGGTTTTCCAACTGCCACGTCAAACGAGCGCGATACCTGAAAGCGCGTTATACATGTTTTAGTAAATAAAAAAAAAAAATCATTTATCTGACATTTAGGGTTTTGTTTTATTTATATTCAAAAGAATGATGAGCTTCTTTTATTCAAATAATTAAAGTTTACAGATCAATGGAAAGAAAAATTTCATTAGATTAATGACAAAGTGAAATAGTGAAATAGCTTAATCAGTCTCTTTGTTAATGTTTTATCGATATTTCGATTTAACTTACGCCCATTTCCAGGGATTCTTGCTGAATTTTACTTTCTTCAGATTACCCAGATAAGCGAATAGGTTGTAGTCGATAGAGTTAAGTTGGTTATAGTCGAAGTAAAAGTTTTGTAAATTACTGAGCATTGGAAAGGTCGTGTAGTCGATCCACTGAATGACGTTGAATGACAAATCCAGAGTCTGCAGGGAGTACATGTTCACGAACCAGTCTCCCGGCACGTACGTCAGTTTATTGCCCCAAAGCATCAGTTTCTTTAATTTCGTAAGGCCTATGAATGCTTGAGTATCGCACGTTTGTATGCCCGATTCGTGCAGATCTAAGGTCAGGAGAGTCGCCCCGAATCTCACAAAACTATGTCTTCAGCGGAATGAAGTGGAAAAATCGCAAATTAAAAATGTTGGAGACACGAGAAATTCGCGTCGGCACAAAAGCGCGTGTAATATATTCGATGAAAAATGAATATTCAAAACAGAATTATTCAAAATAAACGCGAATATTCCGAAATATATGTATATGTACAAATTTTAAAAGGAAATACTGAATATCCGTAAAATAAATGAAAAGAGATAGAGGAGAAATGTTCAAAAAATAAATATTGGAGAAAAATATACAAATGTTCTGTATCACAAAATTAAAAATCGATTATATCGTAATATCAATTCAATCATTGTTTTCTTACAATCCTCGAACAATGTCTTTTCTCTTCTTACCCGAGGATGTTAGGAATATTTGAATCAAAAATCGCAATGATCGTCGTGTTGGTCCACGCTTTGTCCAAGTACTGTCGCAGCGTTGTTAATTCAGTGCATCGAAAGCCAACATCATTCGTTTGTTTATACGCGATCTTCACGCACGGTGACAATAAAACCGCTTGGGAAAGCGTGTTAAGAAGATAAATTATTAACAAACGCTTCATCGTCGTGAATTCGTCCGCGATGAAGTCGTTGAATTAACTAAGTCCTCGAGACAGCGAATGATGGATAAAACATACAATGTGGGCGGCACATCCTCATATGGCTTCTTCTTCCTGTCGATGATAACGCAAATCAGTATGTATATAATATATAATTATAATTGAATTGAAATTTCTACGCGTTTATATTTTTATCACCAGAAACGCATCGGGGCATCCTGAAAGAGAAAAGTCCGCGCTCGCGGATGATAGTAAAAACAACATTTATTGTCATACATATATACATGTCACAATTCTCGTTAAATACGGCCGTTCCTAGAGACGAATAAATTTAATTCAGTCAATTTCGAAAGGAACCAACGAATTCCGAATTCGGTCGGTTCTTAATATGGACCCCTCATTAATTATTCCGTCGATGTATACGCTTATCTATTAACCGCGCGATAATTACACGAATTAATTGGAACGACTTTTATAAGTCTTATGCTTAATAATGTCTACTATTTGAAAATACGTATAAAATGGTGATCTTTTTTTTTTTTTCGAAACAAAAGAATGCTGCACGTCAATTTATCGCCTTATATTCGATAAAAAGAAAAAATGAATATTAGCAAATACTGTATCGTCTAGAATGTATTTTGTATAATGGCAGTTATAAGCGTGCGTTTTTAACAGCGTAATCTTGCACCTACTTCTCAGATACCTTTTCGTGATTTCATTTACTTTTTCGACGTAACTACATTTATTGTCATAAAAATGTCTTGTTATTTACAGCAAAATATCGACTCTCTCGATATCTCCATCACATTTTTCTAACACCTAAACGAAAATATGGCAAAGAAATTATTTCGATATCAATTACACGTAATTCCACTCTACGTGTCTTTCATCAATAATAACGTGATAACGACAAATAATCCGATTTCGTTGCAATCGAACGTTGCTCGTCACGAAACGAACGTCTTGCTCTTCGGTTCAATCGCGAATGAAAATCACCAGGACGATCACGACGAAACCGACGTGACATAATCGCGAGTCACGTAACGATTCGACACCGTTCTGGACGTCCAATCGCGTGGGCGCCGAATGCGCTGGAGCTGGCGCTGGCGGCGGAAATGCGGAGATTCTCGACTTGTTCGCGACATTCGGTGATGAGCTGGACAAATTCCGCCTGGACATCGGCGTGGTGTGGCCCACATTCTTCATGGCCAGATCCGACTCCGTTTTGTTAAGCGCGTGCGAGTATTTCTTTCCCTTCCTCTCCGGCTGCTTCCGCCAGCTATGCTTTTCAGTAAGCTCGGTATTTCGTGTGGAGGCTGTCGTTGATCTCGATATCTGCAGCTCTGTAAATTCGATTTCAGAGAGTATAACAAAGGCGATTATCGGTATTGTCTTGAGACAATTGCCAATTAAGAGACCAGATGTCACGTAAACATTTTTAAAGAGTCTCACTGATGTAAAATATCGAAATTAATTGTGGGATGCCATCCATTCTGTTGTTCTTTACGCGCGTTATCATATCTTCATTCTTTCAAAATCATAAGACGAAACCAAATGATAATAAGTAACGGGCAAAGTAAGAGTCAGCACGTTTCTTTGAAATTAACAAAAGAATATATTTTAATTAACAAAGGTAGAATTACATAACGTTACAAGTTTCGGCTACCGGATCGAGCCCTCTTCAGACATTAACATAACGAAAAAATCGCAGAACAACATCAATTATCGCAAATGATCGCATATTCATAACATTCACAGTTCGGGGTGAGTCTTGATGTAGAGTTCGACATTATTTCCGTACGATTGAACCGTCAAATGTATTAAAAAATCTTGGCAAAGCTCTAGTTGATAAAAAGAAAAACTTAAAAACTGTACCCAAAAAGATCTACGCGTAAATGAATTAACATACCGGAAATCTAATAAAAACACGAAATAGAAATAAATACTTTCGACGGAATTTGATAAGGCTGCGGATTTATAATGTTTAATTTCTGAATGTTTTACGACATCTGTATCAATAGTCGCTACTGTACCTTGTAGTCTTATGGAGCCTTCCGCTTTTCCAAAAGCGTTTTCAGCGGAGCACGTGTAAGTACCGAAATCAGATTTGTCGAGACGCTTGACAGTGAGATTTAGCTGATATGCATAGTCGTTGAGGATTGTTTCTGATATATCGTGTTTCTCGCTCTCAAGTAGTTTGACTCCTAAAGTAAAATATCTTCTCTTCAGAGATAATTCTATCGAGAATGTACACATTTATAATTTATATTTCAAAAATAAAATTCTTCTTCACTTTCCGCTTTTAGC